AACCTGACTGGAACGGATCCAGATAGGATGTTTCCTCCAGGAATTGTGGAAACTGTTGCGCGACCACACTCTCAACAACCTTCGCAATGAAGCGAAGGTTGGAGACAGGACGATAGTTAGCCAATATTGCTGGGTCCAGGGACGGCTTCTTGAGGAGAGGCCTCACCACCGCCTCTTTCAGGGCAGCGGGGAAGTGACCCTCACTCAAGGAAGCATTAATAACGCCCTGGAGCCAGCCTCGTGTAACCTCCCGGGAAGCCAGTACCAACCAGGAGGGACACGGGTCCAGTAAACATGTGGCCGCACTAAGTCTCCCCAAAATCCTGTCCACATCATCGGGAGTCACAGCATCAAACTCCTCCCAGATAACATTCTCAAGACTGTTCCTCGTCACCCTGCCCTGATCTACCCAGTCAGAGTCCAAATCCCCCCGGATCTGAGCGATTTTGTCATACAGGTATTGTCCGAAATCCTCCGCCCTGCCTTCTAAGGGATCCTCCCGCACTCCCAGATGGAGCAGGGCGCGGGTCACCCTAAACAGGGCGGCCGGACGATTCCCTGATGACGCAATAGAGGCGGAAAAGTAGTTAGACTTTGCCGTCTTTATCGCCACTAGGTAGGCCTTAATATGCGACCTTACCAGTGTTCGATCAGATTCAGCGAGACTGGCCCTCCAACCGCTCTCCAGGCGTCTTTTCCGGCGCTTCATTTCCCTCAGCTCCTCAGTAAACCAAGGAGCCACCCGGGATCGGCATCGGGTCAGAGGCCGCAAAGGCACAACTCGGTCCAAGGCCCCACCAGCCGCCCGATCCCAGGCGGCTACCAGGTCCTCGGCCGAGTCATGTGCTAGATCCTCAGGAAATGGCCCAAGCTCCGTCTGGAACCTATCAGGATCCATCAGGCGCCTGGGGCGGATCCATCTAATTGGGTCCGCCTCCCTGCGGCGAGGGGTCGCGGTTCGAAGATCTAGGCGAAGGAGTGAGTGGTCAGTCCATGACAAGGGTTCCATGTCTATATCCCCTATAACAAGACCACTCAACCACTGGCCAGAGACAAAAATCAGATCCAGAGTGTGACCTCCCCTGTGAGTAGGGCCATGAACTAACTGGGTCAGGTCCATGGCCGTCATGGAAGCCATGAACTCCCGAGCCACCTCAGACGTTTCACCGACAGATGGCAAGTTGAAATCACCCATGACTAAAAGCCTGGGTGTATCTACTGCCACCGTGGCTATCACGTCGAGTAGCTCAGGAAGGGCTGTTGCCACGCGGCAGGGAGCCAGGTACGTAAGCAACAAGCCCATCTGAACCCCACGGCCCCACCTCACAAGGAGGGACTCACATCCGGCTATCTGAGGCACAGTGGTCTCCCTCGGATCCAGATCCTCGTTAATAATAACCGCCACCCCCCCGCCCCTCCCCTGGGCCCTCGGCTGATGGAATGCTCTGAAGCCTGGTGGGCACATTTCAACCAGAGGGACGCCACCCTCCGGGCCCAACCAGGTCTCCGTAATACCCGCCAGGTCTGCTCCTCCCTCTTGTATAAGATCGTGAATGAGGGGGGCCTTATTAACCACGGACCTGGCATTGCATAACATCAGCCGAAGGCCCAGATCCTGAGTATCTAAGCCACCTAGTCTCCAAGAGGAGCCATGGGGACCGGGGCAAGCAATTGCTCTCAAACAGCGAGTGCGAGCCCCCAACACATGATATGGTCCCCTGCTCCCGCCATATCTGCCCCTCCCATCTACCGTGCTGATGGTAAACCTCATAGGTATCGTCCCCCATCCCTTTCCCAGTCCCTCGACCAACACCTCCCAAATCGTTACCCTGTGCCGGGCTCGGCTCTGACCCTGGTGGATTTCCCCCCCATCCCCCAGAGTCTTCTTCCCAATTTCTCTAGAAAGATCATTACAAACCCCCCTCCCAGAACCCCTTAAAATCTTTAAAAATTTCCCTAAAAAACCCCACAAATTCTTCCTTGCTCCATGCCATCTCTCTGGACTCCAAAGTCCGTCATCGAGATAGGCCCTCGATAATGTGGAGGGCCAAACCTGCGAGTGGGGAGAATCTCGCAGGGCGAGGAGTTCCGACACCGAATACATTTGTTACTGGGAGTAGTTATGGCTTATAACCAGGGGATCAACCATGATGATTTAAGAGTCCAACGGAAAAGTATATAAGTCTTAGGTAGTATACATTGGAAAACGCCACTGCCTTCATGGTAGTGGGAGGAGTCCAAGAATAGTCCAGAAACGATGGAAATAATAGCCGAGGCTGACTCCCTCAAAACTCATACCTAAGGTAAACTTCTCCTTTCGGTTAGGGAGGACAGATAGAGCAATGCCAATCCATAGGCCCAGAAGTATAAGTCGGTTTACAGAGTTAGTGCAGTGGGCATATCAGGAGATGATCCAATGGAGAGTAGATGGAAAATGATGGTGGTATCCAGCTGAGACTGAAAATGGCCTGGATAGCGTGGGACCATCATACGGGCGAAACCCGGCAGAAAAGGGGGGGGGAGCAATACAGAGCGTTTAGGGGGGAAACACCCCCATAGTCCTCTTCCGGTCCTCCACATCGCCCCCTAGGTCTTTCCCGGTCACAACGCTCACCCGGTTCAGCCTCCAACAGTTCACTGTGGGGCCTCTGGGCGTTAGTGAGCTGGTCACAAACGGCCACACACCTCACAGCCGCCCAGGTCAGTCCAAGATGATCACGCCGGAATTAGTTCCTGCCATCTCCCTCGCAGCCTTCAGGCTGCCGCCGCCGCCTCCACCGCCAGCCCACAGCCGCCATCACAGCCTCCTCCCTGGCTGGCGCCACAACAGCTGCCAGCCTCTCCGCCATCCTCCTCGTCTTCCCCAAGCCCCGCCAACACCTCCTGGGCACCCAGGACTCCGACGAGGCTCTGACGAGGAGTCCGCCGAGAGCGCTGCGCTGCCGCCGTCTCCACCGCTGCTCAGGCGACTGCCAGCTGATCGCAAAGGCCGCCGCCACAGCCATCCGGGCCGACAACGCCCCCAAACGCCTCCTCTGCAACACCCGACTCCCTCTGGCCAGGAAGCGCTCCGGAGAGCTAAAAAGCTCTCAAAAGGTTGGCAATAGCCTCCACTAGCCTGGTAGGGGCCATAGTTGTTTCGTCTGGCCCCCAAAGACCCCCTGTAGTCCAAATAACACCCCCTCGGTGGTAGCGGACTCAGCAGGAAGCCGCCATCTTGAGCATGCGCTCAATATATAATATAACTACTGTATATACATAACAAACTTAATTTTTTTAAGAAAATGATCTTGTGGGGATACATTACTAGCTACCCAGGACCTCATGTGGCCCACAGGCCGTCGGTTGGACAAGCGTGATGGACAGAGTTCAGTACAAAGCTGTAGATTTAATCAACATTAATAATATATGCTGAATTTGGCAGACTCAACAAGTGGAAATCTCATGTGACAACCCATTATCATCCATTTATTGGTGCTTTGGAATATTATGAGATTGTCTTTTGTAAGACTGATGACATGCTAAGAGTTTAGGATCATTTAGGGTTAGGGTAACACTGAGTACTGTAAAGAGAAGTTCCTCTCTTAATCCAAAATCTTTCAGCTTTTGCAATTATAAGGAGCAATAAAAAAAATTATAAGGTGACAAGTGTGGTGGGTAGGAAAGTGACACAGGATTTCCCCACCCAACCCAAGGAGTACCCAACATTCATCTATATAAAAAACAACTGAAATTTTATTAGTGATTTTGGGAGGATGAAAAAGGATGATCGCAAATTGTCTGCACCTTTCCTGTATTAATTTTTCAATCAATGAAAAATTAATATCTATTCTAATTAATAGGTTATTAAGGCCCAAAATGAGAAAAGATTAATAAAAAATGTAATACAAATCACAAAGAAAAGAAACAATTAAGAGTTCTCTGTCAATTGTCCGACTATTAAATTTGGGGTAGAAGCTAAAATGCAATATTCGGGACAAAAACACTGAAAGGCACAAAAGAACTCCATACATGGTTTTCTACATGTATTAAAATCTGAATTTCTTTTTCCTGAGTGATAACATTAAGACAAAAACAGTGCAGCAATGTTTAAGATGAACACAACAGAGGCTTAGAAATTAAAGTGCTACAAAATACAGTATAATTTTAATAATATTGTTATACCAATAGATGGAAATAGAGAGAAGCATAGAGGGTCACAAAATCTTGAAATAAATAATTGACTTATAAAATGAAGCACTGGTTTTTCCTTTCCTTTCCTCCTTCCCCACTCAGCACATGACTCAGGCAGCATACATTTTTCAATAACAATAGATTCCACAAAAAATCACATTAAAAAGCCATTCAAAATATAAAACCACAACAGAAACATATAAAATGCTGGAGAAAATATCGTCCAATGGGTCACACCATTACCAGACGTGGTATTTGAGGAAAGGGAGGGACAGAGCCAGCCAAATATTGAGAGGAAGGGAGGGGGATGAGGGGACCCCAGAACATGCTAACCCTACCATTCTTGCAAGTGATATGTGCATCTTATGCACAGTGTTATATGAGCATAGGAAGTATTCCCATAACCACCTATACTACTGCATTTTGAACCAGATGAAGCTTCTGAGTAGTCAACAAGGACAGTTCTACATAGAGTGCATTAGTAATCACTCATAAGATGACTTAAGGTATGAGTAACCCTAAGAAAGACCTTCTGATCCAGAAATGGGCACAATCAGCACAATCATGACCACTTGCTCTTTGATGAGGAACTGGTGAGTCTAGAAGGATCCCTAGGTTGCCCTCTGAAAGTGCTTGGGGCAGTGCAAACAGAAGCAAAGATGAAAAATCTTTGGATCCAGTGGTTCCACAATGCAGATATGAGTGCTTATAAGCTGGATAGTGCTTCTAATTAACAAAAATGTTCTACATTTATAAATGTATACAACCTCTGCTCCTTTAACAAATTAAAAAAATAGAATTGAGAAATTAAACATGGACAAGATAACTGATGTTTATCCATTTATCCATTATTTATTCAAATTTTATTCTCAACAAATCTGTCAACATATGCAAAATCATATTCAAAGCCCTCCCACAGCCCAGCAGCATTACAGTTACTGAACCACAGTATAAAATAAGTGCTATCTACACATATGGTTTAAGCTTATTTATCCTACAATCATGAAGGAGAATTTAACAAGTAGTTCATTTGCTCTCAGCAGAATTTCCTTCTAATACATAAATAGTGTGATGATGGAAAGCAACAGACTGGATATTAAAAATACTTATAGGTCACTTCTGCTACTGGAGGAATGGGGCACAAAAGAAATCCAGAAGGCACACTGTGGCATCCGTTAAGGCTAGAATTACCAGCCTTTCAATTTCTTGCCTTTTGTGAACCATATTTTGCAACAAATATTAAAATGCTAATTTGCTTGAAGTTTTATTACATGCACTTTTTTCAAAAACTTTCTTATCTACCACAGTTTCTTTATGAATGCAAAAGGAACTCTTTACATTTGTTCCTGCTACTTATTTCAAAACACGATTTCGCTCTTCTCTAATTCATTGTCTTCCCAATGGGTTGGATCTCAAAGTCTTTATCTTGTCAGCTAATGGTAGTTGGCAGGAGATGGAAATCCAGAACATTTGGAAGGCATCAAGATGGGGAAAGCTTCTTTAGAAGATAAATAGCTGGATGGAGAGAATGTTCAAAGCTATTTTTGGCAAAACACAATGTAAAAAGACAGGCTTATTTCAAACAGGGAACATCAGATTCATGATAACCTTAGAAAATGTTCTCAAGATACAATTCATCATCTTTCAATATTAAGATAACTCATCAAACAAGCAAAACCATTTTTTAATGGTACATGGAATGGTACATGATGGTCCTTTTTCTACAGCAGAGATAGTGTGGGTTAAAGTGAGTACAGCATTTTTCCTCATACTTATACCTGTACTAGTGGTAGGGTTCAAAAGCTGCCTGAAATTGCTTCTTATGGAAGGAGACGATTCTTTTCTCCAGTTCTGGAGTTACAAGCCAGAAAAAAGGGCTCAGTATAACAAAGCTTGAAATGTCAAGAATACAGGAGAGACATTAAAACACCTTCCAATTTACAGATTTTGTAAGTGCATGAGTAAACTGGATGCTCAATCTACACAATAAAAGAAGGACCTTCATGACAAGTCCAATGTATTTTCCTATAGTAGACCCAGGGTAATGTAAAGTGACATATACCAAAGTTACAGGATCTGAGTATCTGGAGGGGGCCCTAGTTCTTGCTGAATATTATTTTTTGGGGGGTACTTTCCTGTTGGAAGATGCTTTGACCAAGGCACAAGAACTGAGTTGCTCTGTAAGGAATACCTCCTATCCCTATGTGCCAGGAAGTCACTAGTATCAAGGGTGGCTGAGGTGGCTGTGCTTATGGAGTGTGCCATTCCCATGAGAGAGACTTATCTTGAATCTCACAGACTAGTTTGATGTATGCTTCGATTCAGTAGGAAATCAGATTAGGAAGGCTTTGTGGCTGAAATATCAATGTTGAAAGTCAACCAGGATGTTGTTTGAGGTTATAAAGTCCTGTTTTATTTACGTAGATTTTGATGGTTCATCTAGCGTCTATTTCAGAATTCCGCCTGGCTGTATTATTATGACTATTTCCAATTCCATTCCTTTCCAAACTTTCTGAGGACAACCCATGCAAGGGTTTGAACAGGGAATGACTGAAGGCTTCTAAGTATTAGCTCTAGTAGAAGTCTCCTGAAAGATACCTATGGATAACTGATAGTCTTAATAACAGCCCACCTCAAGAATTTCTTGATCATTTTGTTATTTTATCATACTCAGGAAGATAGTTCCACTCAATATGTCAGCCCTCCTTGGTGTACCAGATGAGAAACAGACCAGATGAGCTACTTCAATTTTATTGTAAGGCTACATTAACAGAATCTTGCAAGTCTGAAAATACAAATCTCCCACCATTTTCTTTAGAGCCTGAAAACTGGGGAGGGTCCCTTCTGAGCCTCTTTTTCTGCCTGTTATACAGCTGTGGGCTGTATCCTCTTTCTGGTTATTCCTTAGGGCAGAAAGATCATTCCCTTTGCTCTGTTTCTCAAGGTGATTCTCATATATTACTACAACTTGCAATCATCTAATTATTGTTGTGTTGTTATTGGTGTGTTGGGCTTGGTCTCTGGGTGTTATGTGAATTTCATTGTATGGGTATACTGTGTATTGTACAATGCACAGTTGTATGGGTATACTATGTATATACGTACAATGACAATAAACTTTATATAAAAATAAGCAGATGAATGAAGATGACTGAATCCCAGTTGACTTAGCCACTCTGATGATGCCAGGCAACTTGTTTGTTTGCGGTTCATTCATTCAATTTCTATAGCTGCCCATCTCAGCAAACAACTTAGCTTAATGGATGGCAAGTTGAGAAGATGACTAGAACTGATGGCCAGGATCTGTTAGCCCAAATGAGAGCTACCACAGTCAGTTCTATTTTTCTGGCTTCAAATAGTCTCAGGAAGAGACTATAAGCCTCAGGAAGAGATGAATGGAGGGAAATATATATTCCAGGTCTTTGGGCCAGGTGGCATTGAAAGTGTTTGTTGCCTATGCTCTCTGGGACAAGAAATGGGAGATGAACTATTCTATCTTGTGACTGGTAGAAGGTAGCAGAAGAAAAGCTTCCAAAAGATTGATATGATTTGCTCCAAAGTGGTCTAGGATAGTTATTATTTATACATGCATACAATAATGTTGCTATATGGGGTAGTTTTCTCTGGAATTGCTGGCATTTTGAATGGGAGAAATGTATATTGTGTTGGAATTTGACCTTTTTATGCTTTTATGTAGGGTTTTCCTTACAACTAATGGTTGAGATGTGAAACGTTGAGTTTTATATATGTTAATTAATGTTAATAGTTTATAGCTTTTTGGACTTTTTGCTGATAAGTTGGTTAAAAAGACATTACTTATTTGATTTGCCTATTACTAAGTTGGGCTATGGGATGAAGTGTTTTATATTTGTTAATTTAGAAGAGATGTTTATGAAACTGTTTACATGCTTGTGATGAGGGTAGAAAGTTGCTTTGTTAAAAAGGGGGAATGCTTTTTACTTTTTCATTTTCTTGCACTTTTTTCTTTCTTTACTTTTTAAACTTCTTATCACCTTTTACTGTCCTTAACAAAATTACTGGAAAAAAGATACCTGTATAATAAATTGTACCTTTAACTAAAAAAGCTCGGGAAATGTGACTTGCATCAAACCCATGAAACGACAACACGTGTGTGTGTTCCCTGAGAGTTACTCTGAAAGTTCTTTGGAATGTAATTCTTCAGATGGACATAACATGAACATTGAGAAATGTTCGCTTCATAAACAACTCAAATTTATGGCATCATTAAAATAAGTGTGCTGCATTTAAAGAAGCAATCAAAAATTTATATTAAAAAAAACATTTCCAGTATCTCATTCAACTCAACCACAAAATTGGGCACATGATGAAGACAGTGGATTATAAAACTATATCATACATAAGTAAAAGATTCATTTTCGCTGAAAGCATGCGATCAAGTTACTGTATTTTTTACAACAGAAGCCAAAATCCCTCCCCCCAAGTCCCCACACACAGAGCACCACAGCCACAATAAAGATGATGTGCCCAAACAAGACTGAAATGCATCAAAATAACTACGGACTGAATCCCAAGTTTTCTGCTGTGGACAGGAATTGCTTTTCCATTCACAGAAAAACACTTCAGTCTAATAGAGGTTTCTGTTAAACCAGAGTTTCCCAACCTTTGCAATTTCCAGGTATATGGACTTCAACTCTCAGAATTGCATAGCCAGCATAGCCATTGCTGAGAATTCTGGGAGTTGAAGCCCACCCACCTTCAATTTGCCAAGGAGGAAAAACACTGTGTTAAAGGGATCACTTTTCCTCTTGTCTTCCTTTACTACTCAATATGCTATTGCAGAAATTCTTCTAGTTCTTTAAAGTAGAACTCTGTTAGGAAATATTAGTTAGGACTCAGCTTTAGAGGTATAAATAATCGTCCTCCTGTTTTAGTGAAAATAAAGAATGAGTTATAGTAAAGTTCCTCCTAATGTTAGTTTTTCAAAGGACATTTGTGAACAAGAGAGAAATATATAAGTTTTGTGCATTCATGTGCTTTTCATTAAATATTTTGCTTTTCATACACTCTATATTCTTAAGTGCTTAAATTGCTATTTCTACAATTACTTGTAACTTGAGGGACATCTTTAAAATCTTTAGTATGGTGGGCCAGAAAATTGGGGAGAAAAAAAATAGCCAGGTTTTTAAAAGAAAGGAGACCCTCTATATTGCATATTACATATCTACTCAAAATTAAAGCACTAGCCTTTTTTCTTTTAATGAAAGCAATATATTAGTATAGTAAAAAAAAAAGTGACATGTTGAATTTTACCACTTGCATAGTTCTCTTAAGATCTGATTTTACCTTTATATCAGGTCAGTTGTTTTCCTTTAGGTATACATAATTAACTCCAGTGTTAAAGCAGCAAAAATTATTGGGAGTCTGGATTGCATGAACTTTGGTACCATAATCTGGACATAGTTCATAGCATCCCAATGAAATTTCATTATGCCTATGTGGGGAAGCACTCCTATATTTCAAAAATAAAAGTGAACGTTTAGTTCTGAAACAGATTTTATATAGGGAAGCTTTCACAAATAGTCTCTCCTTCCCTCTATATATGTGCCAACAGTAAAAGATATGAAAAAAAATTATTAGTTGGTCCTTACAACTATTTAAGAACTGCCATTTAAGGAAAAGAAAAAAAAAACTTTCTAGACCTGAATAATGTTATTCAATCTCGGCCACTTAAGTACTGATTACACCAACCACTTAATTTTCCGCACATTAATTTCAGGTTTGAATGAAATGCATGTAGTTACTTGCCAAGTCTATATTTCTGCTTAGGATTTTAATGTTGATTTGTTATCAGGAAACTGAAGTCAGTGGGCAGATCTGTATTTCTCTTCTTTCGTCTATATATTTCTTTGAACCATGATTTTGTCCACATGCACACAAATTTTCTCAATCTCAAACTTTGTCCAAGCATATCTGTATATGCTCTGTTACTCGAAGGGGAAGTGTTTTCAACAAGCATTCTTCTACAATTAGACAACTCCGTTTCAGAGAATTACATTCCTCTAGCTCAGCAGGAAGTAACTCCAGATAGTTTCCTTTGAGCTCCAGATGAACAAGGTTGGAAAGCTCACCAACTCGAGGGGACAAGTACATTAGGCTGTTATGTCCCAGAAGAAGGTGCTGTAGCTTTTTGCACTGGAATAATTCATCAGGAAGTGCTTCAATCTAAAAGAAACAAGTAATAAAAAGTTGTTTTCAATTTGTAAATCAGTCCTGCAAACTTAGTGTAAGGAATGCCCTCAAATTGTAACAGTACTCACACTTTCCTTCCTCTTTCAAAAGTATGTGTAAGTCATATTAATGAAATATATATTTTTAAATAAATTCCACAACAGCAATAGCACTTAGACTTATATACTACTTCACAGTGCTTTGCAGCCCTCTCTAAGTGGTTTACAGAGTCACTGCATTGCCCCCAAAAATCTGGGTCCTCATTTTACTGACCATGGAAGGCTGGAAGGCTGAGTCAACCTTGAGCCTGGTGAGATTTGAACTGCTAAACTGCAGGCATCCAGCAGACAGCAGAAGTAGCCTGCAGTGCTGCATTCTAACTACTGCACCACCAAGGCCCATTAAATAGTGAACATTTCATGTAATTGTTAATTCACTAGCGTCCCGGGATAATGTTTCAAGATCTAACAGATTGGATCCTGCTAATTCACTCTTTAAAGCCTATTTCCAAACAAAGACCTGCAATGAACTAAACCACTCAGTAGTCTGCTACAAATTTCTAAAATATGGGCAAGTATCACTACTCATATTGCCTTCCTCAGGGAATACTAACTGAAGGCAGGAGAAAGTAATTTGATTTTACAAAATGGCTTCTGCAAAGACAGGAGGGAAAAAAAGAAGAAGAAAATGCGTAGATACTGGCTATTAAGATTTGAGATTAAATTGGAAGATTTGCTAAAAAAAATGCTTTTAAGGAAAGACAATTTCTTGTAAGTTCCCTGAGAGTTGAGATTTCATCACATTTTAAAAAATGTTTGTTTCTTTTCTGCACCTATAACTCATCTTTTCCAATGAATACTAGTAAGATTTGGAAATGCTATCCTTTATATATTCAAAACAAGCACAGACTTTTGTATAATTTGCGATGCACCACCACTAATACAGTTTGTCTATAATTGTAGACTTTGGATCAGCAGTTCAGGCCATGAAACCCACAAGTGATATAAAAAGACACAGCATTCTAGAACAGCATCCTTTGAAAAATACCTTCTTTTTCATAGGACTGAGAGAGGGATTGGTCAAGGTCGCCCAACTGGCTTCACACACAAGGTGAGAGTAGACCTCATGGTCTCCCAGTATTTAGCCTGGGGCCTTAACCACTACACCAAACTGGTTACTAGATGGAGCAGACAATGATCTCCACACAAAGATTAGAACTATACTTTATTGAGCTATGCTATAATAAGAGAATGTTGCAAATCAGACTGGGCTGTCCCTCATTCTTATACTCCAGTGAATCAGAAGAATGTTTGCCTGAGCCACTTCCAAATATTATTGTGCTTTACACAATATTGAAGAATGTTTCAGCTGTCTTTGCCTAAGTAACAGTTCTTGCATATTTCTGTCAAGGTCATTCCTCTACATCAGGGGTGTCAAACTCAAGGCCCAGGGGCCGGATCTGGCCCATGGGGTGCTTAGATCTGGCTGATGGGGCCACCCTGGAAACAGCAAAGGACTGGCCCGTGGTGCCTCTGCCAGCGAAAATGGAGCTCGCGAGGGCCGCGGGAGGCACTCCCAACTCCATTTTCACTGGCAGAGGGTTGCAGGAGGCCGTCACAGCCAAAAACGGAACTCAGGAGCCCATTTTCGCTGACAAAGCTCTCGAGCCTCCACAGGCACCCCTGACATGAGTGACATTGAGCTGGCCACCGCCCCCCTGGCCCAAGGTCAAACACAACCCTGATGCAGCCCTCAATGAAATCGAGTTTGACACCCCTGCTCTACATTTATAAGCACATTTTTAAATCAGAAATCTCATCAACTATGAAAGATGTGACCATGTGACACGCCTTCATACAATCCTATTTACATCAAGGCAAGTTGATCTATGGTCTTCCATATATTGCTGAATCTCAACTATTGGCAGTTCTATCCAACATGGCCCAACTATGAAGGATACTGGGAACTGTATTTTAGCAATGTCTGAATTGCCACACCACTTCTTGTTTACAAGGGAATCTTATTGTGTGCCCTATGCTCCTTAAGTAAATATATAAATGAAGGAATGTCAATACAGCTGAATGAAGATGAATCAGATCAACTGCATTTTGCTGGCCATTAACATACTTCAGAGTCAGTCAAACATGGGTAGAGTATAAATGAGAGGAAACAATAAGGAGGATCTGAAAAAAATACTTCAAAATGCACTTAAAGGCAGCATTAGCTTCTACTTACATGATTCTTTGTCACAGCAAAGTACTGCAAATTTGTTAAATATTGGATTTCATCAGGAATAGAGGTTAGCTTATTGAAACTCAGATCCAGATGATGTAGCTTTTTGCAAAGAAAAAGTTGTGGTGGGATTTTTTTAATGTTGTTATGATTTAAGTAGAGCTGTTCCAAGTTTGCTAAGGTACCAATCTGCACAGGGATATAAGATATTTTGTTGTGCCACAGCTTCAGGCAAGAAAGATTTTCAAGGTGCTGAAAGCTAATAATTTCTTCTACCGTTCGTAGATTATTTTCTTTCAAATCTATTTCACGTAAATAGTTTAAGCTGAAAATAGAATGAGGGATGCGCTCCAAATCACAGCTGGTCAGTTCCAAGATTCTCAGGTTTAACAGTTTCTTCAAGTTGGTCAACACTAACAGTTTTTTCCCCTCGTTGTCAATAGATAATTTCTGCAGTGAAGGCAATTGGTCTGTAACCACCTGAGGTATGCGGGAAAGGCTGTTCTTTAAATGAATTGCTTTCAGATTTACAAGGTCTTGAAAACCCTCACTGTAGAAGCCATTCTGGGGTTCTGGCACATAACATCCAGTCAAATACAGTTCCTGTAAGTTCTTTAGATAGAATACCCAGCGTGGAATCTTTCCCATATCAACAGATTTTAGACGCAGAATTTTTAAATTATCTTCAAGGAAGTGCAGTGCCGGATACTCCACAGTTAATGTTGAATGATAAATGTTTAATTCTTTAAGACTGGATAGCTGACTTAGAGACGGTGGAAGTTTAACCTCAGGAATGAGCTCTAGTGTTAGAACTTCTATCTCTGTGAGTTCAAAGACGTCATCTGGAAGGCCACTAAGCATAAAAAGATGAAGTTCCATTTTGTCTTGAGGGTTTCGCACCAGCTTGCTCTTCAGCCTCTCTAAAGACCATTCATTATTGAGACTAATTTGCTTCAGCTTATTTTCACTCACCTCGGAGAGAAATATTGAAAACCGCTTTGAATATAGAGGGTCGTACTGGTCTGCTAGGTGAAGAATAAAGGCAAAGTCATTTTTTACATCAGGGATATCGCTGTAATTACTCTGCTCCCTCAGCTTCTCAAAAGAATATTGTTTAAGTGAACTTCTCAGCATCCATAACAAACTGTAAGTGCATGTCAGGCCATATAAAATCACCAGGACAACATAAAATGAAGCAAGCACTTTAAAAATTTCGGCCAGTGAATAAACACATTGGTATCGCTTGTAGCCAGTAAAAGTACGAATATCAACTATACAATCGATTTCTAGGTTAATAAAGGTTAAATAATATGGAACATAAATCATTATTAAAATGAACACAATGACCTTGATCACAATCTGTTTTAGATACACTCTATAAATGACATCTTTCTGTTCAACATGTACCCTGAATCGTTTTACTTTCTCAAATATTGACTTTGCTTGTTCCCCTTCTCTTCGATCAAGAACATTTGAAGTGCTCTCTCTACCAGCTGTTTCTAATCCAGTCTGTGAGTAGGACATTGATTGCCTCTTGCTCTCCAGCTCTGTCATGTTGCTTGGGGAGGGAAGAAATGTTTTCGATTTGGAGCATGGCAGAGTCCTCACAGATTGCTCAGCAACTGTTTCTGATAGGGCACGTGTGGTCCAAGGGGAATCGAAACATTTGTGAAGTATGGCTACAAAATGCTCTAGCCTTGAACTTGTGCTGGGGTAGTAAAGCCAGAAATTACTGCAAGCTGCAAAAATGAAAGTGTGGAGAAGCACTAAGTACGGGAAAAATTTGGCAAACCAATGAAGTTCTCTCTCGTAACACACTGCATCAATGTAAGAATACTGTTGCCTATGAAGGTAATTCTGGATTTGAAGAGGATGAACTTCTGGTGTTGCAGAGGTGAAGGATTCATTGATGTTGCTTTTAATCAGATGCCAAGGCACTGTGCAATGATTGTCAAATTCAAGCTTGCAAGGAAGACAACATAACAATCTAGTCTGAGTGAGCTGAAGAGCCCCAGCAAGGACAGCAACAAGCAGCATTATCATGGTAAGATAGTAGCAGAAAACATCCCACCATGGTTTCAAGATGTGAAATGATGCCTGGGCATCTGCTAAGCATCTGAGTTCAGTTAATGTAATCATGATTTGCTTATGACGCAGTAGCAACTGGAAAAGAAAAACAAAGGAGAATGTTTAGCTGAATTAACTGGATAGAAATTAAAATTACGCTAAACAAAATTGTAGCATTAACATATTAAACAAATTAGAAGTCTTTAAATATTATTTTGTAATCTACACAGAAAAATGCAATTTATGGTTCATTGCAATTTTGTCACAAATGAAATATTTCTATGAATTTCTCATTTTTTTTTAATCCTAAAAGATAAATTCTATCTGTTATTGCAAGCATTAACTCCATTGTGGTACAAGACTTAGTATTCTGTATTCTTCCCCCACCACTACCTTCGATTCAATTGTATCTAATTCTTGGAGACTGCCTGGACAAATTTGCATTTTCTTGGAAATATTTTTTAAGAAGTGGTTTGCCTATGCCTCCTTCCTAAGGCTGAAAGAGAGCAACTATCCCAAGGTCACCCAGCTGGTTTTGTACCTAAGGCAGGACTAGAATTCACAGTCTCCGGGTTTTTAGCATGATGCTTTAACCACTACATTAAATTGGCTCTTTCTTTGAGATATTCATATTTTTTTTCAACTACATTCCATTTGCATGGCAAAGAGAGTGGGTTTTTACTGTCCTATTTACAACTAACTCACTTATTTTTCAGTTTATGCCTCAATTACTCGGTGGTCTATAGAGCCAATGTTAGTAGCCACATATGAACAAGATACATATATCTGTTTGTTTTATAGTTTTTAGCTTTTTATTGTAATTATATACTTTTATTTTTTAATCAATTAAACTAATATCAATTTATTGTACAGTACTATAAAAATAAATTTATAATCTAATCTATTTAATCAAATTTTCTTGGGTTATTTAAAATTTGGCATACATATTCCCAGATTTCTCTTTTTTAATTTCACTTTTTTTATGGTATATAATATTTATATGGTTAACTGCTAAATCAGATTATACAAAGTGTAATTTGTTTATACTATTTATATTACTCTAATTAAGGAGCAAATAAAATAACATTGGGTTCACAATGCACTATTACTGTATTGAGTTTTTTTGCTATATATACACATTAAATGAAATGATAGGCCTCTCACTTTGAGCAGCCCTTCCCCCTCTTGTTTAAAGGGAACATCTCCTAAAAAAATGAAGTTGTCATGATACAAATCTGCATACTGGCACAGAAGCAGTTTCTTGAGACTGTTGTCCATTTCCCTAAGAACATTTCACTGCTAAGTCTGAGGATTTTTGTTATTTATGCATGGTACATGGTCTTGTTGAATAGATATAATATACGACGCTATAGGGCACTAATACAGGTAGTCCTCATTTAGCAACTGCCTTGGATTATAGTGATGGACTGTCTGCTAAAAGGCTATGGCACACAGTTGAAAGAAAATGTATTTGTGGAGTCTGGTAAGAACAAAGAGTGTTTAGAAAAACAACTAGACACAAGGGTAGTTTTCCCCCCATGCCAACACTCTGCTAAACAACTAATTCCCACAAACTATCTAGAAAGGCAGTGTTACCATCATTATTCTCATCTTCCCTATTACATATCTCTTTATCGTCTTATGACTATAACTTTGTTGCTTGTATCTTACGATTTATATTGTTTACTTAGTATCCTAGTATGATTTATGTTGATTGCTTATTTAGTATCCATGACTATCACTAAGTGTTGTATCTAATGTTTTGTGATGAATGTATTTTTACAATGACTATGATAATGATCTTTCACTATTGCTGTATGTACACTGAGAGCTTATTCCTTGTGTGTCTAATCACACTTGTCCAATAAATAATTCTAATTCTAATTCTGATGACTTCTGAACCTGCTAAATAATAACAAATAAAAAAGACTTCTAATATAAATGTGCAATGTATATGTTGGAAATATTAATTTGTACTTACTTTCCTAACTGAATGGCATAAAACATAGAAGTATCATTTTCAATCAGGTGGTCTGCATCTTTTAAAACTCCTCAGGCATGCCATCTTCACAACCGTCTTCATCCTGAATATCAACATATGACAAGGATTCAAAACTGATGTTGCCTATATTGTAAGATATACAACCATACACAGTACTGTATCAGAATCTTGGTGATAATGTGTCAGAAAGAGAATCTTTGTTTCTAAGGTTATATTAGTAATTGGTTACATAATATATGGATATATGATTAAACAGCACTATCAGTTTCAAAGTTTAAAAATAATATTTCTATCTTTGCTCAATCAATTCATAGAATGCAGATGAAGGATGAAACTACAAACAGAAAATATATATGGTCTAAAAAAAAGTCCAGTTAAAACAAATTTGGAACATCAGAAAGGTTCTCATCCAAAATTCTTGAAATGTCAAACCTCTACTTAACATCTCATCCTAGTTAACATCCATTACAGTGATAACACATGTAAGAATGTATTCAGATGTAAGCATTAGGAGAGAGTTAATTTGCAAGTTACTTATCACATGAAGAAATAACAAATGTCATGTGGCATAATTAACTACTTACTTTTGGTATGATAGTTATACTACTCAGTCAGAACCACCATCCCTGATATAAATTGCAAGTAAAGAATCAACAACAACTTCTGGAAAGCTGGTATAAAACTAGGGTAAATAGCCTTAGATTTTCAGAAGGGTATCACCCTTTATAAATATTTTTAAAAGTCCCTTAAACCATCTTGAAGTTTTATGCTGAGTTGTGCAGTAGAATGTTTCAGATTAGCTTGGCATCTCATAATCTTAGCCTTCCATCCAGATAAAGCCAGAAATTTTGTTTGATAGAGATTTCTTCATTGTTTAAAAGATAGGTCTCTCTCATTGTGATTTATAAGGAAAGAATACTGCAAATATTACAAAGGAAGCAGTTCTTAGACATTTAGTTCCATATCAGCTCTACTCTGGTCAGTATGATGAATTGTTCTCTTTGCTAAACGTACATTTTAAAATAGACCAAAACATTAGATAATACATGTTAAAATACCGTGTTTCCCCCAAAATAAGACCATGTCTCATATATTTTTGAACCCTGAAATAAGCGCTTGGCCTTATTGCCATGCACTCAAAAGCCTGATTGGGCTTATTATCAGGGGATGTCTTATTTTGGGGGAAACAGGGTATAAGTACATTATATATAATTGGAAGGTAAAATGAGTGGTCTGTCCATCCATCCATCCATCCATCCATCCATCCATCCATCCTTATGGCTGAAAGAAGCCATGGAGAATTAAAGGTACCACAAAAATACATTATATTTGATTTGATTACCACAAAAATACATGATATCTGAAGGCTAGCAAAGGAAAAGTCCTAGCCAGCAGAGACCTCTTTGAAGAGTACGGATATATAGAAACAGGTACTTTCCTACCTATAGTGCCAAGCAATTTCTTTCTAGGTTATTTTTACATTGTACATTAGGATTTAAGGATACACTATGATACAGGGGTATGGCTGGAGAAGACTTATTGTCTATAGATTCTCCTTAGTTTCATATTCCAAGAGAGAATTGTCAGGCCCTGTGAAAGGAAGTTAGGGGAATAGCTTCTTTTGAAATGCTGCAGCTAAACTGAAAAAAAATCCTGAGAGAATGTAATTATTAATCTCTTATCAGAAATGCACAGAGAAAAACTCTACATGCCCAATTCACAAATTTATCATGACAAAATGCTATCCATTTCCTCTTACAATGGGGTTATAGAATATAGCCTTCCCAGAAAATATTTTTTTCTTTCTCCCTAAATATATTCAATTAGTTTTTATAACAGCAGAAAAGCTACAACTAAAGGTTAAATCCTTTAGTAAGTGCACTTATTAGTTTTTGACTAAAAGGAGTTTAATATGTGTTAAATGGGGAGAGGCAAGCACAATTCGCTTGTGATTTTAATTCCTTGGTTAGAATACCAAAGCTGCTCTAATATGCCAAACTATGTCAAGCTGCAATGAAAAAAGTTACTTGCCTGGATATTCCAGTGAAGGCAATGAGTCTGAACTTCAAAATGAATTTAGATTGGAGTGCCACATATGACCGTGATCCCAATGAAATCCATATAGTAAAAAATGATTTCACTTGACAAGGAACACGTCCTTAGAAGGAAAACTACTGAAAAAAGGATTGAAAGTATAGCTGAAACAAGCTAGATTAGATTATATTACAGTAAATAGTTTGTCTGGAAATACAAACGAACTTACAACCATACATTCACTGACCATTCTAAGTTATTACGGCACTGAAAAAAAAATGACTTACAACCAGTCCTCACACTTACAAACATTGCAGCATTTGCGGTGATCAAAATTCAGGGGCTTGGCAACCGGCATGTATTTATAACAAGTGCAGCATTCTGGAGTCATGTGATCACCCTTTGCAGCCTCCTCAGCCAACTTCTGACAAGCAAAGTCTATGGGGGAAGCAGGGGTGAAATGTAAAATTTGTTACTACCGGTTCTGTGGGCGTGGCTTGGTGGTGGTGGAGGTAAAGTGACTGGGTGGGCATGGTCAACTTTTTTTTTTTTTTTACTTTTCAAAGCATTTTTTCTGCAAATGTAAAAAAATGCTCTGAAAAGCCTCTGACGATCAGGCAACTCAGCTGGGATTGTTAGAGAAACTTTTAAAGCATTTTTTTCTGCAACCTCTTCAGCGGAAGAGGTGGTTAAAAAAATACTTGGAAAAGGCTCTGACGATCCCAGCTGTGTTGCCTGATTGGCAGAGGCTTTTCAAAGCATTTTTATAACCACCTCTTCGGCGGAAGAGGTTGCAGAAAAAAATGCTTTGAAAAGCCTCTGACGATCCCAGCTAAGCTGCATGATCATCAGAGGCTTTTTTTTTACTTTTAAAAGCATTTTTGCGGCAGAAGAAGTAGAAAAAATGCTTTTAAAAGTAAAAAAAAAAGCCTCTGATGATCGTGTGGCTCAGCTGAGCATGGTGGAAGGGGGGGGCAGGGATTTTTGCTACCGGTTCTCCGAACCACCCGCCGCCATCGCTACCGGATCGTGTGATCCGGTCCAAACCGGGAGCATTTCACCCCTGGGGAGAAGCCAGATTTGCCTAACAAACATGGGAAAAGAATGGTGGTAAAATCAGATGGGACTCCCTTAACGATTGCCTTGCTTAACAATGAAAATTCTGGTCACAACTGTTAAGTCAAGCACTACCTGTACTAGCCATTTGTCTTCTTTGAACAGTACTTTGCTTCCTCTCTTTTATGGCAGAAGGGTTCAGAATAGAAATTGAACTAAAAAGGGATCTAAAGCTTCATTTGCCACAAACTAGGGACACAGTCCAATTGACTGAGTCTAGGTATTGCTTCAACATCAATCTTAAAAGAAACAAAATAAAATTATAATGAAAGAAAAGTTGTTCCTGAACACCTTGGTTGAAGCAATACTAACCCGTCCATTTTGTTTAGTTCTAAAGGTTATAAAAAAGAATAGACACATTTCATTCAATTAATGTGTAATTCAATTAATAGATCAGAACTTTTCCAAACAGCTTTTAGCTCATAAAAGCATAAAAGCACTTCAAAGTTCTCTAATTGAATTGTGATTATGTTCTAAAATTGGAACATGAAGTATCTAAAATGATCTCAATAATTATCTCCTCATTTTGTTGAGCTTTAGGTTGTAATCCTATTTGCATTTATCTAGGTCACAGGGAATTCAAGCTAAGAGTACATGAAAACTTACTTTAATATCAAGCCTCCTTTTTGGTATCAGTATCAACATGTTTCGGGATTAATCCACAAAAACTGCAAACCACAGTATTACCATTTACAATGCAGGCCAGCTTTCTAAGCAATATATTTTAAATATATATTGTTCACTCAAATATTTAATACTGCCACATATAGGAATAAGAATTTCTATCTTTGCTGTAGAGCAATAATTGTGGTCACAACCACAGCAAGGAGGAATGGAACTCCAACATGTTTGCTTCTTTCTCACAGAGCTGTTAAGATAGAGTGCTATTTCTCCTATGTTACAGAATACTAAACTGATTGATTCTGTATTATTCCATTACTAAATTTGTTTTAGTTGGTCTTTTATTATGTATTGTTTGATATTTGATTTACATTATTATTAATTTCATTTTTTTTATGTTTGGAAGACACCCTGAATACTAAATGTGGAAACACAGGATACATGTTGAAGAAATAACATGTATTTCAAAGTTACAAATGAAAATTTAGTTAAGCCTTTATGCTGCCACTTTTGAATAGTACCCATCTGGTTAAATAAAACAGAAACATATTCATTTCTAATACCTCTTCCTGCGCCTGCAAAAACAAAGCATAGAAATATGTGCATTTCATGACCTGAAAAGTTATTTTCTTTTCTGCTGTTATTTTATAATGTAGTAAGGAGCTAAGCCACCAAAAAAACCAACAACCGGCTATATAATCAGGGAGCAAGATAAATCAGAAATACAGCCAACAAGATTAGATTTGTTCTTTGTTTACACAGTAATGGAAGTCTTAAATTTCCAGAACAGTGCTAAGACAATTTAATAGAAAACAGGCCTTCAGGTGCATTGAAAATCTACTTTTGTGTTATTTTCCATTCCCAAAAAATTATCTTTAGTAATATTCACACTAATGCCGATTTCACTAATAGGTAACTAGAGCCAATAGGCTGCCATGTAGAAACTGTGGTATATGAAGGGCAAAGATTATCTCTACATCTATTTTTATCTATCTATCTATCTATCTATCTATCTATCTATCTATCTATCTATCTATCTTCTATCCATTCATCCATCTATCCATCTCTATCTATCCATTTCTGTCTATCCATCTCTATCTCTCTCTACCTAGCTAGCTAGCTGCATACACATGGATTCCAAATTGCTTCATAATTGTATTATTATAACAGGGTACTGTGAGCCTATGATAACAAGTTTTAAATAAAAACTGGGACAGCCAATCACAGTAACAAATAATGCTGCTGTTTCGTCTATGGTAGATAATGAAAGAACAATGGATTCTGACATGACCTTGCCTAAGCTTCCCAGGATATAGCTTAGCCAGCACAAAGTTGGTTAACATGATCATTGGTCTGACACAGAAAACAGACTTTGCAGATGGCTATCCTAGCAGGGGCTAATTCAAGAGGAAACCTTGAATAACGTGTACTTGTAATCTTAACTTCCAGAAAACAAAGCACACTAACTGAGATGACATTTAAGTTCTTCAAGAACTGTTCACTGCATACAAGATTAGAAGAGTATGTGATGACAAGCCTCTGAATGCAATTGCAGAATGTGTCAACTGCTGACTTTTATTGTTTGAAGATCAACAAAATGTAGTATCAAATCCTGGTAACTTTTATACGTCAAAATATGTAAAATACAAACAGTACATATTTTTAGTCTAGTATTTGACTTGCCGGTTTTTACGAAACTTGTTGTAAACATGTTAAACAGAAATGAATAAAACCTTGTTACAATTTAATATTTTATATGCCATTTAGTGGGGACTTCAATAGGATAAGGAGTAATCAATTAGCCTAAATGCTATTTAACACTTGTTCAATCACCACATTTTTAATAATAAAAACTATAATTTTTTGCTGTAATTCTTGCGTTATTTACTGAAATACTTCAAATACTAATTATTTGCATAGAAATCAGTGGCGGGTTGACCTTGGTTTGGACCGGTTCTATAGAACTGGTAGTAAAACCAGCAGGAGGCTCCGCCCACTGACCCTGATGTCATCAGAAGCAATCTGCACATGCGCAGAAGCTTCTGCACATGCGCAGAAGCAAGGTGTGTGTGCGAGTGAAGCACATGCATACGATCCCGTTGCGAACCAGTAGTAAAGGTAAGTACAACCCACCCCTGATAGAAATGTATTGCTGAATTAATGAATGCTACACAGTATTCAAAAATTTTATTAAATCAAGGAAACACATATTCATATAGACAGATATAACCTACCTAAGGAAGAACCACAACCTAGTCCAGTTGTGTTCAACCTGCAGCCGGCTAGTGGGCTGCATGTGACCCTAGATCAGTGGTGAAATCTAAAATTTATTACTACCGGTTCTGTGGGCGTGGCTTAGGGCGGTAATGTGACTGGGTGGGCGTGGCCTTTTTTTTTTTTTACTTTTAAAACCATTTTTTCTACAACTTCTTTGGCAAAGAGGTTGTAAAAAAATGCTTTCAAAAGGCTCTGACGATCCCAGCTGAGTTGCCTGATCGACAGAGGCTTTTTTTCTTTTAAATGCCTCTGACGATCAGGCAACTCAGCTTGAACTGTCAGAGACATTTAAAAGAAAAAAAGGGTTTTTTTCTTTTAAATGCCTCTGACGATCCAAGCTGAGTTGCCTGATCCGTCAGAGACATTTTTTCTTTTAAAAGCCTCTGACGGTGGGCATGGTCTGCACTTGACGCATCTGGCCTGCGGGCCGCCAGTTTGACACCCCTGCCCTATACTCTTTCAGGAATGTTTTTATACTGTTGTTTTGTAGAGGTTGCAGCATTTTCCCTCATTATTTTATTTGAGTTAATGTATTATTTCTCCTCAGATTCCTATTTTTGCTTGATTAGCCAGAATACTTCCTCCCCTGTTTTTATCAAATTAAGCTTTTCACTTTTTTAAAAAAATCCTTGGCTCACAATTTTTTTAACATTTATTTAACCATGCTGGTGTTTTCTTATACATATTCATTCTTTCTATGATAAATAGATCCATTGTATTATAAAATTATTCTTTTATAATTCTTTAAATAACTTCCAATGTTTTCCTGAGGAAACATTTGTAATGAACATTAATACAAATGCTTGAAAACAGAATTATTACAACCTGTATTTCTAAAACTCCCTCTCAAGTATTCATCATGACAGAGGATCTGTTCCTGGAAGGGATGAGTGAAGAATGCCAGGAATATACTCACAGCAGGCTAACCCAAGGTGTGAAGCCAATTACCCATCTAAAGCAAGCAGGCACCCTTATTGGGCAGTGATACAGGAAAATGCTGCAGGCAGATGATTGCTTTAGTGACAATAGCAAAAGCTTCATTTGAAACTTGGTGGGAGAAGACAGTGATAATCCCCTCCTACATTCTATTATGAAAACCATGCAGACAAACAATGTAAAGTGATTTAGGATATGGATTGGATGGCACTCAACATACTACTGAGGAAGCGCTGTGGATGTTTTGGAACACTAATAGTGTTTACGATGTGGTAGATTAAAACCTTTGGGATGTCTAATTGGTGATATTATCACATAGAGGGAAAAATCTGACTTTACAAAGATAGAATTACATGGTATATACAGTATAGTATATACTGTAAGAAACATGAACATGGGAAGGATCAGTGCAGTGAAAGATGAAATGAATCAATTACACATTGATATTTCAGGCATCATTAAATTTAAATTATCTAGAAATGGACAGTTAGAAGTTAGTATTGTATTATTCAGAACACAGAAAACAAAGAAGGAACAGCATTGCTTTCAAGGCAGTGAAAGTACTGCAAAGACAGTACATGGATATTATGCAATCAAAGATGGAATTATACTAATTAGATTTGGAGACATCCCTTAGTATAACGATTATCCAGGTTTACACTCCAACCACTAATGCAGAAGAAAAAGAGGTTCATGAATTTTATGATACAGGTTTAACCTGAAATCAGCAAAATATGCAAGCAACATAGGCTGCTTATGGTTGGAGACTGGAATGGTAAAGTTGGGAATAGTAAGCAGGAAAACGTGCTTGGCCGTCTATATGGCCTAGAAACAGAAATGAAGCAGGAGAATGATTTATCAGTTTCTGTCTATTCTGTCTGTAAATTCTATATGAGGACAATCAGATTTCTGGGATTCCAATTTGCCTAAGGTCTTTCCACAGCTTGACACAACTGAAGTCTTTTCTATAAACAATGAAGTACATGCTGGATTTTTAAAAATATTAATTTGCTTCCTCAATCATAAAGCATGCATCAGCAACAATGTCTCATGTTCTTTGGCCTTTTCTAAAGCCGGACTGTACATCTGCATCTCCATTTCTGTGTAGGACTCTAATATGCATTGGATAATCTTGAGCATTATTTTGCCAGCAAGTGAAATTGAGAATATAGTATGACAGATTGCATATTCTGTTTAAGCCTCTTTTCTTTGTTATTGGTATATGGGTTGATCACTTCCAATCTGTCATTCTCCTTATTTTCTGGCATAGTTTGGTTAGAATTTTATTTATCCTTGTCTTGTTTACCAAATATTAATATTTATTCAGATAATTTATGTACTGACCAGATTGCTGATCTAATTTCAGTTTCTAGATGTAGAATATTGTAAATAGGGAATATCTTCTGTTGAATGCTGACATCACTTCTCGTACAAAATTTCAGTATTCTTCCATTTTTGTTTGATTTTTTTGGAATACGTTATGGCTTCTCTTTTAGTATACTATTTCAAGATTGGGACATCCTTCAAGGTTCAGAGATTTTTTTGCAAGACTTCCTTGCTTCTCTATATCTATTTCCATCTTCAATGCCTTTATAGATGTTATTGTAATACTGATTTTTATCTCTTCTAACATTCTGAAATTTTGTTAAGTTTCTTCCTGAGAACTTTTTTTCCCCTTGGCTTTTGTCTCTCTTCGCAATATCCACCATCTGTTCTGTAATCCAATTTGCTTTCTTCCCTTTCTTGGTCTTTAGCAGTCTCTTTTCACATTCATCCTTGACAACCTCCCTGATTTCATTTCCACAATTCATCTGGTTCCTGATTAAGAGGTTCAGGACTTCAAACTAGTTTCTGATGCTCTTCTTGAAAATGGTGTATATGTGCTGTAGAAACTGTGGTAAAGCCAGCTGCTAGGCTTATCTTTGCTATTATTACTGATATTACTAATAAATTATTATTATTATTATTTTCCATATCCTTCTAGAAGTAGTATGTTTGATTCTGTACTCCATCTGGTTATGTCGATGTATATAGGTGTTTGTATTATTTGAAACCTTAGTAGTAATGAAAAATGCATTGAATAGGAAGCCACTGTTCAGATGGTACATTGTAAAGCAGACTGGTCCTAGATCAGCAAAGGAAGGAGATAAGGCTATACAGTCTCCCCTTATCTATTTTGGATATATGTTAAGGGAAGTTGGATTGGAGGAATGTAAGTTTAGTTTTAAAATTTCAGGAACAAACCTCAAGAATCTGTACTATACTGATATTACTATGCTATTTGAAAATATGAATGATCCATATTCCAGAAGGCCTAGTAATAAAAGGCGCTTCATTACTAGAACACAGTGAAAAATGGGATTAAGTTTAAACATAAGGAATATCAAATTATTGATAACCACAAATAGAATTGAAAGTGAAATATTAAAATGGTGGACAGCTTCTACCCTTTGAAGATGGACTATCAAAAGAAAAAGAAGAAAAAAAAAACAGAAATCAAGAAACATGCCACAGGGTAGCATTTGTTAGATTAACAATGAGAGTCTTAGAAAACATATTCAGATACTGTGGTACAGTATGTCTGAAGTACAAAGAATTGTGCAGGCAAAGGTTTTCTTTGTGACCTTCTATGAAAGCGAAAACTAGACTTTGAAGAAACAGAGGATAGAAAGAGTATTTTTTTTAATTCTTCAAATTCAAAAAAAATACCACTAAGGAAACAAACAGGTGGATCAAAGCACATATCAAATCAGAATTCTCACTTAAATACAAATGAATAGGCTCAAATGATCATAATTTGGATACATTATGTGAAGACTTAACTCTCTGGAGAAGATGAAGGAAAGAGGGTAATGAAACGACAAGTAGCAAAGTGGATGGACTCAATTACAGTGGTGATTGGTGTCCCAGTAGAAGACCTGAAGGTCAGGATGGGAACAGATCATCCTGGAGAAGGTCTATGTGATCACTAAGAGTTTGACACCAATATGATGGCACAGAGTCATCAATAATCAATAATCAACTCCTAAAACTGTTCCACAAACATATCTAACAAGAATCAGAGGGTTGTTATTATTAAATCAAGATATGCTTTCTATCTTGTCAGCTCCAGAAATTTCTAAGGCATGATAATTTAAATCTGGAAATACCATTGATATCAGAGTAGGTGACACAAGCTTCAATTTTTAACTTTGAACTTTGCTTATATTTAGGCATATAATTTAAATTAATCTATTCAGCAAACAATAGCTAAAATAGCCAGGTAAGATAATTAACATGTTCTTACCTGCCAATTGCCAGTCAGATATGATTCCTTCTGGAGCTTGACAGTTCCTGCAGAGACATTGTTGAAAGAGTTACTCCATATTTACAATGCAAAATTATAGAACAAGAAAAGCTTATGAGAGTCATGTAGTCTGAACTCTCTAATTATGGTTAATAAGATTTAAATACCAATCTCAGCATGTCTGAAAAATATTTAATCCAAGGCACCATCTAGTGGCATGGTTTAATCACAGCATTTATTTCTGCTAAACCCCAAAATTCTATTTCAATTCTTAAAAACTTTAAATATACTATACATTAAGTACCACTACATTTCTATCACACATACAGCTCACAAAATACAGCCAGTTGTATCCAAGATATAGGCAAATGGAAACACTCTACCAGTGTCAAGCACATCTTGACAAATTTGAAAAAGTCTGTTCTAAGTGGATATATGAAGCTACTGCTTCAAACTAATTCTTATTGACAGTGGCTGCGTCATTTTTTGTATAGTACTCTGTGGCTGAGCAGAATTGATAAACTTGTTAGCAGATCTTTGAAACTCTTTTAGAGAATTTACTTTATATGCAGTTTTCTGTACTAGTCAATATTTATTACTGCATATTTACTGTTCAATAAATTTTCATCTTGGATTCACTGTTGTTTTACTAAGTTGGTAAAACATCTAAAACATCTAAAAAACTGCTTAAAAACTTTTTTAAATTGTCAAAATATACAAAACTGTGGGCATAAGTTTAGAAATATTTTAAATTATAAATATTTCTAAACTTATGCCCACAGTTTTGTATCACTCTCCAGTGAAGTGGGTTGTAATTCATAACAAAAGTACAATTCTTTAAAATTACCATATTATTCTTAGTTGTTTCTCGATTTTGAAAAGTTTAAACTACAACAAAATAGAGCTTAGTTCTTGTTCATTCAAAAGATTCCTCTTTTAGTAAAGAAATTATTTACAAATATTATTATTATTGTAGCAGCCCAACATTTTTACAAAATACCTAGTATAGACTAGCATAAAATTTGGTGTCAATATGAGCCTGGGAATAGAAAAGTGTTTTCATCTGGTTATTTTACAGTTTTAAAGAGATCTAGTTATGGGTGTGCTGAAAGAGAAGTCAAACTACTCTAATCTAATGAATGCTGTCGATGATAAGGGGTGGATTCAGTTAGGCTACAAGTACAGATTCTCAGAGAAATAGAAAGAAAAGGTCCTCCTCATTTTTCCAAAACCGAACAAAAATACCTTTCCTGTTTCTTTCATATATTGCAATCCTTCATTTATAACTTTTTATAAATTTTTAAAGTCTATGAACTTGGAAAACCTCTGTGCAAGATTATTGAAAATATCGTATCATTACATTCCCATATACAGGTAGCAACAGAGCCAATGAGGGATCACAGGACAAAGCCAACTATTTACTGAAGTCTATTACCTAAATGTCAGGGCCATGTGACTATATGAATCTTCAATCTACGTTTGAGTTATCACAGTTGGCAATTAAAATTCTAGAACTAGCTACCATACTCTAGTAAAGCCACTACATAATTGTACAGTAAACATTAGTGTGATTCAGATATAAGAATAATTATAACACAAAGCCAGTTTGGTCTAGTGGTTAGGACATTTAACTAGAAACCAGAAAATTGTCAGTTCTGGTCCCCACTTAGGTATGAAATATTGGCTTTGGGCCAATCACTCTTTCCTAGCCTAACTCACCTCACAGAATGATTGTTGTGGAGAAAATAGGAGGAGGAAGGAGTATAGAGTTAGGCTTGAGTTATTCATAAAAATAATGAACTGCAGGAAAAAAACATCTAAAATAAAAATAAACATCTGCAACCTCATTTGCTATTGTTAATTTATAAAATACTATTACTAATCAACTAAAAAGTGCCCTACACAATGGATCCCCACCCCGTGGGCCATGGGCTGGTACCGCTCCGTGGCCTGTTAGGAACCAGGCCGCACAGCTGAAGGTGAGTAGTGGGCAAGCGAGCGAAAACGACACCATCTCCCTCCCCCATTCTGTAACTGTCTTCCACAAAACCAGTCTCTGGTACCAAAAATGTTGGGGGCCACTGCCCAAGACATTTATCAACAGATCCTTAGCTACATTCATAAACTCCTGACATAATTTTAATATTTATAGCTCCTAGTCACAACCGCCTAATTTCTGTAGTATTTTGCAGAGGAATAATAAAGTCCTTGATTTACAACCATTCATTTAGCAAATGTTCCAAGTTATGACAGCACTGAAAAGTGACTTAATAGCGGTCCTCACATCGATGACCAACACAGCATCCCTGAAAACACATGATTGAGATTCTGGTGTTCGACAACTATCGCACATTTATGAGATGCAATATCGTACAGAAATGTGATTGCCATTTATGACTTTTCCAGACTGCTTCCAACAAGCCAAGTCAATGGGGAAGCTAGCAGGAAAGACTGCATGTCTTGGTCAAGTGATATCTTGTTTAACATCCTTAATGATTAATTTCTGGTCCCTGTTGTGCAATTTAACCATAATGTTAAAAGTTGCAAATAGTTGCTTTTCTTTTGTTGTTAGATATGCTCCAAAATATGTACTATATGTAACAGCAATCATTCAAATTACCCAGAGACAAAGCTGATAAAGCTGTATATTTCAGCAGGCAAAAATATAATTATTTTAGAATTCATGATTATGAACACATCTTAATAGTATACCCTCAAATATTTAGAAAATATTGCTTGATTGAAAGTCCATCTATATGCCAGGATGACTCTTGGGTGTCCTGGCAAAGCTCAAGATTTTAGTCTTTTGATAAATTTTAATTTTTCCCTCCACTCAAAATTGTATCAAAGTCTTCACAACTCTTCTGAGACCAACAGGAATCAAAGATAATATAGTTGCTTCAGCTACATAAAGTGAAAACAAATTTCTCTCTCTGTTTAGGGTGGTGAAAGTCCACATTTGTTAGGTAACTTAACAAGTCAAACACAGAAAAGTTAAATAATAATGGGGCTAAAATTCAACCAAGCTTAACTCCATTTTTAGTTGATGCAGCAGATGTTAAATGACCCTGGGGAGCTGCCTCTGACTTTAAACATCATGAAGAATGCAACCTAAGAATAGCCTTTTGACAATCAAAGAAGCTTTCAGCTTCTCCCAGAGTTTACTTTGATTAACCCAATCAAATACTGGCTATTGAACGAGACTGTGGACGAGGAAAAATATTTTTCTATTAAACACAGGTAGTTCAAATTTACAACCAACGTAATTGGGACTGGAATTTCCATTGCTGTGAGGTGTCACATGACAATTCTGGCAACTGTTGTTAACCAAGAATCATGGGTCGTTAATTTATGACCACTCCAATCCAAGCCATTCCAGGCTTGGTCCCTTGTAGCCCCAAGCCTCAGTAAGGTAAGGGACTGGCTCCAACCTTCTCCGCCCTTATATCTTCTCCCCAGTTTTGCTCTTTGGGGAACCCTATCATGCAAGGTGGCAAGCAGTTCCCAATTGTCCAATTCTGGGGCTGCTTGCTACACCTTGGAAGCCAGTTACCCCAAGCGAGTTGTAGTTGCCTTTGCTACTCTGCATTCTGAGACCAGCACTGCCTTGCACTCTACTGCTCCATATGACGTTTGCCGTCTTCTTGCTCCTGCTGCTAATGAGGTGTACATGGCCTAGTTGCTGGGGCTGGGCTTTATGCTAAAAAAAAAAAAAAAAAAGCCAAAAGGAGCCCTGGCCTGTAAGTCTGTAACACAAAAGGGATGTTTTGTGTGCCATGGCTCTGGGGCTTTTTTTCTTTTTCTACAGCGAGAAACTCATCTCCAACCTGCCTCAGCAGCCAGGCCAGGCACACCTCATCAGGAACAAGAGCAGGAACAGCAAAGGTCAGATTGGGTGGCGAAGCACAGGGTGCCAAAAGGGCATAGATGGGAGACCATAAATAGATGGGGGGAGCTGAAGTGCTCTTGTAGTCATAAATGTGGGCTGCCAAGCTCCCCAATTTTGATCATGTGACTGCGGGGACACTGCAATTGTTATAAATTGAGTGCCATCGTAACTTTGATCAGTCAAGGACTATCTATATTGGAGGACACTACATTGATATATAGTGCAGCAGTCCTCCTGGAAGCCAACCAGTTCCTCCAGTGGATTTTCTCTGTTCTATCAGCTCCCTAAACTTGTAAGAAATATCTTGCACTAAAGACGTTGCACTGGTTGTATTAACTGATTAACCAGTAATTTGCTGCAATAGGTCTCCCTTTTCAAATTAAGACTATATGTACAAACTTCAAATCCTCAAGATCCGCTCATACTTTCAACTAAATATTAACAGTGAAGCTGTGATAGGTGCCCATTAGTCTGAATTATTAATTCAGGAAGAATTAAGTCTCTGTCTGCACCCTTCCCTTATCATAATTGGACAATTAGGTCATTAACCTCTGTGGAGGCTTGTAGAAGATAAAGTGGATGGAAACATGCAAGAACTGTTGCCAGGGAGACAAGGGGTAAAATGACATATTTTAAATCCACAACAGAAAGATAATATCTGGGAGCAGTTCAGACAGATACCTCCCTAATTCAATGAACTATAAGTATGAGGAGGAGGTACAACATAATTAGACTTACAAGTTTCTATTATTATAGCCAAACTCAAGGAAAGTAGTTTTAGCTTTTTATGAAATTGTACCTAGTGGGGCTGACAAAACCAAACCCATAAGTCCTTTATACAGTACCTACATTTTCTGATTCATCATTATATAATTATTTCTCTCAAGCCTCAGATGAAATGCAGTGATAAACAGGAAATGGGCATTTTGTGAGTGGTTTGCTGCAATGTGCTGAAAGAGAAATGAGTTCTTACTGCTTATACAAGATATGACCAAGGTATCCTTAATGGAGGTTCTTAATGTAATATTTATCTTTGTATTAAAGTCACCAACTATTTCTGGGTATGGATAGGTTCCCTCAAGAGGTGAAATAATTTTTATCTGGACAAATATTGATTTATATGGAATGAGAAAACATTTAAATCTTCAGTTCCAAATT